AGGAGAGTGGGCGGCTCTTTCAGAGAGACTTGCACGTGCGCGCGGTGCACTGTTGCTAGTGCTAAAGTCCTACTTTCTGTTCTGCCTGTAATTTGCATTCATTATAATGTACCACGCACCGGTGTAATTGCATTTTTTCAAAAAACAGTCCACGGTTGCTTTTCGTATCATCTGTGAGAGCCTCCTAGTTAATAAGTTGCTATTAACATCTCCGTTGAATTGTTCACTTGCAAGTCGCGCATTTTTTGGAAATTTCTATCTTCTTGTTTGTAAATGAAGGCCACTTAAACTTACGTGACTAATTTTCTCGAGTACATATATGTTACTGTATACAGGGTGCAAGACTTAGAACGCGCTGCTTAATTATCTTCTCTAATTATGGTGATACTATAACACTTTTGTACGTAATTTAAATGGTTTCAAAGGGTGAGTAAGATGGAAGAGGGAGCAAAACTGGGAGCAAGTTTTTCATTTGATTTAAAATTTTAGTGTCCTGAGATCACGCTACTACGCATCTTTAAGTGAATAGACATTCGTGTAAAAAGTATAGGTGACAGAAAAAAATGTTCGTCCATCTCACTCACCCTTTGAAATAATTTAAATTAGGTGTACAAATTTCCTCGTACCACCATAGATAGAGAAGACAATTTGGTGCATGGAGTGCGTAACAGATAAGATCTATAATTGATATTTCAACGATAACGCGTGAACATTATTCAAAATTGATTAAGCTAGCATTAAGATTACAAACTTCGTAATAAATCGTCGATAAATTCGAGTTGTTTTCGTGGTAGTAAATATAATCGAATCATGTAAAATAGTATTTGGAAGGAAAAAATTCGCGTGGCAAGCAACGCAGCATGAAAGTTCAGCGATCTCCGAGTATTGTTTCAACGAGATTTTGTATTCTTTCCTGGTTAAAATTCCTTTGATAAATTCTACGAAGAACGACACAATTTACACTTGTACAATTTCAAAGAAATCGAGGCTAACAAGTTGTACCGTGAAATACATTGGAAATATTTCGACAAAACAATATCTCGACTTTCATTCACAGGTGTACAAAGTGCTGAAGGGACAGTACAGAATGCCTTGGCTCCCAGAGAAGGAATTCGAGTGGTATTCCAGGGAGGTTTTGTGTCTCGAAAAGGGAAAGAAAGCTGACCGTGCGCTTCCACATCTTCACGATTCACTCCAAAGGTTCGCCATCACGTTCCATCATCTCAGAGCTTTCCGTCTGAAATCTAATATTAACGTTGATCTCACGATGAACAGGAGGAACGAGATCATTAATCAAATGCACAATGAAATTCTTAGGGTACGGAAAATTTATATCACATTCTAATAATATATTAACATATTGCCCTTTCACTACAGAATATTTGGAAGATTAGTATTTACAATCAACTGTAGAATACATTTGCTGCAAACAACAGAGAACTTTGACTAAGCTAGAAGGACCAACCGGGTCAAAAATGACCCATTAGCAACTTTCCGAAAGTGAATGCACATGTAACCAAAACTTGATGAACAAATTAGATTCATATCGATATAAATTAGGGCTCTTAATGTTGCTCGGATTTAAAGATATCAGAATCTTGTGTATCCGAGTAATTAACGATATTTGAGTAACTAACGAAGAAAATTCTAATCCGGATATTCGAATGCTTAGATACTTGAGTTCTCACACTTGTTTTTGACTCCAAGTTCGTAAAAAATAAAATCAGAAAGATGAAAATGATACTTACTATATAATATCAAACATTCACTCTGTTTGGAAAGTTTCTGATGGGTCATTTTTGACCCGGCCAGTCCTCCTATCGTTATCTATATATAGTTTAAATGTTTTACCTAATTATCCCAATCAGATGCGATTTTCTATTACAACCACCTGCGACAGCAGGAGCAGAAGTAACAATAAAAAAAATTTTCCAATTTCGCGTTTCTCGTTGCAGGTATTATGCGAAGTAGAGACCGCCATCTTAAATCTAGGGTTGCAATTACCCTCGGCGCATACCGCTAAAATTGTCACGGAAAGTTCAAACTGGGCAAAGGAGGGCGACTTAACTCTCATGTTAATTCAAGATTGGGGCGTGATCAGATTGTATCAGACATTTTTAAACGCTTGGACGAAGGCCTTTCGTAACGCGACTGCCAATGGACCAGGCACTTGCGACCCTAGCAAGCAGAATCTAGTAGCGAAGAACAGTAAGAAGGGGTCTGGGTCAAAGGGTAAAAGGATACCGAAGATTAAGAAGCAAAATAGGCCAATTAGGAAGCGTCCAGTAGGCGCTGACCATAAGAATGGTAGTTCCTTGCCTCAGGGATCAAAAATCGGTATTCCGAGGAACAGATTGTTGAGGAACAAACAAAAGAAGCTCGCCGGGATCTGATGAAATTCATCGTGTACAGTGCTTCTCTTAATTTCTGTTTTTTTTTTTTTTTATCAGATCTATCGATAATTTCAAAGGGACAGTTAACAGGCAACACGTTGACCTTGTGGCACAACGAAAGAAAAAAGAAAAGAAGAAACTCTTTATTAGGATAACTAGAATATCTGCATTGCGTTACACTTTACATTTTCGCAAGTATTAATTTAAAAGGCATTTAAGACAAGTGTACAGAAAAAGAATACATTTTAGTATTTTAGTTCCTTTAGACTCTTCGAGATTCGTTCGTTTGTACGTACTTTTTTTTTTTTATATAACTTCCCTATTTAAGTACTTAGCATTCGTTACTATACATTGAAATTATTTGCCTGTCGATCTTCCTTGAAGATGTATTCTTAGTATTTTTGCAATCTTGCCAGTTTGTTCCGAATGTGGTAGCGTTGAGAGTTTCGCGATGTAGAATTTAGAATGTCTACGATATATCACGTTGATGAATCGCCGATTTTATTTCCGACAACTGGTGCATTTGATTAGTTATATAAAGGCTTCGTCGAGAATCAAGCTGTATACTAGAGACCAGTATTAAGAAGTGTATTTCAGAACAGTATTATGCTTAATAACATACTTAAATAACTAGAATAGCGAGTAACATTTGATAAAAGGATTCGACTTGCAACGGTGGATTTCAATCGATTCGTTTTACACAACTATTTTACATTAAAGCATCATTGTTATAAGCCGATACGTCTAAAAAAAAAAAAAAAACAAATTGTTAGCCATACGATATATGTGCAAAAAAGGAATAAGCAGTAGAAAGATAATGTATTTAAATGTAATTGACGCGTGCGAAAGAAATGCAACAAGAGTTGATTAAAAATGAAAATTAATTCAAATCACCATGCTTCTTCCCTTGCTTTATCTCAAAGGGGGGAAAAACAAGGGAAGTGTGCACATATGTTTGCTAGAATATTCATTCCTAAATATCTACTGGAATTATTAATTCATGACTCTTCGCATTTACACGCGACGACGGCGTGCGTCTTAACTTCAATAAGATAATTCGTTATTTGACTAATCAAGCTGGTTACGGCTACACACGTACATACAGTCCAAAACTAAGCTTGATTATTATCGAAAAAGTGTTTTTGCGCGACATGACGACGATAAACGTGGTAACAGTCATCGATTTAATCACCGAACAACACGGTTCGTTCAACTTATTTATTGTAGCTTTAACGTAAGCAGACGAAAGCTTAATGTTGTTTAGCTGTGATATCTCGAGCGTACGCGGACGTACAGAGTTCCTACGTTTTATACATAGGTTCATGATTATATATAATTATATAGTATATATATATATTATATAGTATATTTGTAAGTTGCGCATGTTTATACGCGTACAACACATACGTAGGTAGAATATCGTTATTTCTCTTTACATTCTCTTCTCTTTATTTCTCTCTTCTTCTTCTTCTTCTTTTTTTCCGCCAGTTTATAGAATCTCGTCTTGTCACGAACATGACAATTTTTTTTTTTATCTTTACCCATACTTTGCTTCTTGCTTGCTTACAAATGTACACGGGGGATTTTAGCGTTAAAATGGGAACGACACTCTCTCGTTTTCTTTTCCTTTTTCCGCGACACACGTTTTATCATTTAAGCCAGATGGAGAAACCGAGAAAAAAGAAAGATGCCTTTTCCTAAGATACGAATAATAACGAGGGACCATTATTACGATTCGTGCAATGTATTACTTGTATACGCGTTCCAAGCTAAGATGTGTGCGGTGAGTCTCACACACACACAATTACGCTGTGTTTCTTTTTTCTTCGTTAAAAAAAAAAAAAAAAAATCCAAATCCACTTGGATTAAAAGACAATCGATGTTTTGTATCGAACTGGTACTTAGGTATACACGTAGTTTAACGTTAGATATTTTTATACTTGATATTCACACATACACGTGGAGTAATATTTTATACGAGGGCAGTTCAGATCGTAAAAACTTCACTTGCATTTTATCAAGTATACATACTAGTTGTATTTATTCTCACGTACACGTAGGCGTACATAATATTACGATTTATTTATTATATCACGTTACCATCGCATATAATATTTATTGTCATTTCTGTACTTATGTAATAGTCTCGAATAAATTCGATGTTTTTTCTATTAAATTAATCGTTCAACATTCATTTCCCCTTTCGTTTTCTTCTTTCTTTCTTTATCTTCAACAATACTTTCCAACGTTTAAACGATTGGCGATAAATTTTACGCTGGTTAGATGCAATACCAGGTTTTGATAAATTGTATTAGGACTTTATGAACCATTTGCGCATTCGTTGTCACTTAACTGACGATCGTTATCGTTCTATAGGTATGTTGCAAGATAATAACGTATCAAGCTTATGTAGATTGCTGACACAGAGGGGAATAAACAAGATTTCAATTGAAATTTTTATAGTGAAACGAATTTTTGAAGAAAGCTCTCCATGTAATTTTCATTTGGATAATAGATAATAACTGATAGCATTGTTGAATAATTTACTCGTACATGTAAGCTGCAATTTTATTTAAACAATTCGGCCAAATTAAACATAGTTTAAATAACCAAAAATGTAAGCAATCGTTTAAATAATATTCTACATTTATCACTATTACCAAAAATTGCAACTATGATTGTGTAAAACGTTCAATCCACTTATACCGAATTTTTATTGCATAATTGACACTCTGAGATTTATCTCGCTTTCTATGCTTTAATTCATTAAATTAATGTAAACTTGAATTTTACTTATAGCTACTTGTAATCACAGTATCGACATAATTCGTTCAATAATAATTATAACAATAAGCTCACATCGAACGATTAAACATATACAAAGTAATCAAAATGATTGGCAAAACCTTCTTTGTTAATTATGAAAATTAATTACTCGTGTCACAAGATATTACAAACTTGCATACTTCATATTTTTAATGGAAGAAATGGATTTAAAAAATTTTTCGTTACTATGTATTTTTGTATACTATTTATATACCGAAACAGTTGAACCCTTAAATGTCCTTTATCAACTCGGAAGTACCCTGAGCAACAGGTTTAGTATCAGGAGTGCACGAAGAATGGGGATGTTGTAGCTGATATTACACTTTATATACACTGACGTGTCTCGAGAGCAATTTTGCAATATGCAATTATTAGTTTATTTTGGGTATCAATTCTGTACTGATTGTGTTAAATTAAAGAAAGAAATATTCTTTAAACGTATGTACCATAACACGAATTTTTGCAAAGTATCTCATTTATGTAATAATTTTACTGATTTTTTACGTAACAATATATTACACGAGAAGTATGCCTGATTTTTTCCGCAATTTTTCAATTGGAACATTCCTTTTACCTGAAGACGAATTTTACTAAATTTCCGTGCTCGAGATATTTTGCAACTTATCAAAATACGACGTTTATTTGAACTATTTAAATAAAATTTGGAAAAAATTATCGTTTATACTTATTCATTTGACTGAAACCGATTGATTCAAACAATTGTCTGCTTGTATACCAGTTTAGTGAAACAGTTGTTACAAAGATTACATGCACAGTACTTTTTCCAAATTTTTGTATTTGAATTGTAAAAGCAAAACAAGTAATTTTATACATATATATATATATATTTTACGCTGTGCATAAGAAAGCCTATAGTTGCTGTGGAATGTTTACATTCAAACATAAATGAAACTGTTTGTTGTTATCCTATAATTTTTTTATGGACTGCTTTTATATTGACTGTAGTATTACTTACTGCAGAAAGTTGATTGTTATGCACATGTGTGTATATTTTTCGTTATACTTATTACCTAGCTTTCATAAGGTTCTAACAAAGTTATTTAATTCAAATTCAAAATTGTCAAATAAACAACAAAACTACCGAAAAAATTTTTAATTCCTGTAAATACATACCACCAAAAATAAAAATTCAACAAAGACACATAAATAAGTGGAAAACAAGAATTCTACATGTAAGTCTATGAAACCTATAATAAAAAGCGGACACAGCCTCGCACCTTATCAGCATCGATTACCATATCACCAAGAAACTATTGCAAAAATTGAACGTTACTCTTTGAGCCTGAAAAAATATCGTCGTCGTTTAATTAAAAAATTAGCAATCAGCCTCGCAAGATAGTATTTATAATTGATCGATAAACAGCGAGTAAAAATCACACGTATCGTCGAGTGTTTGCGCAAAATTTCAATCGACGACAATTAATTATTCCCATCTGTGCGCGAGCTTCGACGCGATCATTTCCGGTCCAACCTGTTCGAAATTTCTGATAACGGTACAACTTCAAACGCGTATACACGCTATGGTTTATTTCTTCAGGATTCTGATGCGCGCGACTATACTCGGAATAACATGTGGCGTTATTCTAATCCAGTGTGAGAAGACCTAATTTTAGTCGGGAGAATCCGTCCGCTCCCTAATTATAGTATCTCCATATATGGCACACGTCTAACGTTTTACGTCGGATTAGCGTCAACGTAGAATGCGTACGTTACGTCGAGTTCATTCACTAGTTTTTGCGTCTCTGTACAGTCTAGCCGTTCACGCTTCGACGCCAAAGTATTGACCTCCTGACGTCAATTTTTCGTACCGTCTGCTTTTGTACGTACATCTGCCTTTCCTGTGTATCTTGGAAATATACGTACACTACAAGCTCTGTTTTGCAAAATCCTCCATGGTCGAAATTTTTATTTCATTTATGCACGAGAAATTTTTTTTTAAATCCTTCTCCTAACAAAGACGATGGTAAGGTTGAAGAAATTAGTTTTCTTGCGATCACTTCACTGTTTACACAAATTTTCAAAACACTATTTACAACGTGATTTACTATATTTACGGAATAATAATTTTTACAGGAATGACCTATTTAGACGAATAAAAATTAGTTGAAGAGAGGGTTAACACACTTTCGCTAATTTATAAATAACAATATTAGTTGTTTTCGACAGGTTGAATCACACCGCTTTTGCTACTCTACGGCTTTTCCATTTGAATCACAATACAAACAGAGCAATGTTTGCGTCTACATAGCACACGAGGTGTCCAAAAGACTTTTACCGCAACTATCTCTACGTCTGATGAACTGGCGAGTGTCATAAATGCACGATGACAGGTATCCTCGGTTCTTCGAAGAAAATTGAAACGTCTACAAACGCGGGAATCCACGTAATGCGTGATGTCGGACCAATAGGAATTACACATGTTTAACTGGACACGTCATTCCGATAAATTTGGATGCGGATATGGTTGCATTACCCCTTTGGTAAAAAAAGGATGCACGTACTTAAAGAAATTTATACAATACACGTTACAATTCGGCAGAAATATTTTTCTAATCTCGTCTGATTCGCGATAAATAAAGTTTGTCACCGAAATCATGTTATACAATGGCGAATAACATGTTTTTGCAAAACTATCAAATTATAATCTATTACATTAAATAACAATAAATACTTTTTTCCTCAACAGAAAAATAAGCGTCCACTGATGCTTCGTTCTCCGGATTTCGAAGAGAATCTTTAGAACAAATAAGAATAATAAAAGCTGTGGATATAAGATAGCTAATTAAAATTTTTAAATAAAACAGTTAGACAAGCACGAACTCGTCATAACCGAGGAACGTAAGAAATTTAATTCGTCCGATGACGAGGGAGCGATTACAACGATCTTAACTTTCGGTGATACGGTGGAGCTAATCAGTCGTGATGCCGCATCAGTGACGAAATTATAAATAACCAAACGGTCACTGCAATTTCTGGCCATTTGTCCTTCCTATTAGTGAATGTTAATGCGAAATTTCAGGACACAGATCGTCCTATTATTCAAATCAGCCCGGAGTCGTGGGACGTATTTTCGAAAGATCCACTTCGAAGAAGAAGCCTCGCTCGTGATTCCGCGGCACTCTTACCAGAGCGGTGAAAAACTTGGGCAAAACATAAGCCGCCACCCCACCGTCGAACGTGCGTACGTATGTTCGATTGTTTACACAATCCCATATATAAGCTGGAAGCACGAGAGTTTGACAATCTCAGTTCACGATCTCACGCCAATCGCTAACATCGCTCTAACGAGAATCGTCCGTTTCGATCGGTCAAAAATTTATCAATACGCACCGGTGCTTCCTGACCTAATACTTGCAACTTAATCTCGCTAAATTTCATCCTTCTCCAACATGTTCGTCTCGTGTGGTTACCTGTTGATTTCGGTACTCGCTGTCGTCTCTGGTGCGCCTAAAAGAACCATCAGATCGACACTGCCAATGTGGCATCTGCCTTGTGGTGATCAAATAGAAATCGAACAAGTACCAGCTTCGTTGGTGAACGTGGAGAAAGAAGTCAGGATCAGCATAGAAAGCCTGAGGTTGCAGCATCGGGTAGCCATGGACGACTACTTGAATCGCGACTACGAGTACCTGTACGAAAGGGTACGAATCGGCGTCCACGAGCATCAGTACATCCCGAACTGGGTCCCAAGCAAGAAAGACGTGAACACGATCAAGAAACTAACCCACGCTACTCCGCAAACGGTGAGCTTTCTTTCCATCAAATTTCCAATCTTCCATTCTCCACACACCTCGCGATACTACCTGTGCATCGTTCGATCCTACGTTATTTCCTTATACAAACAGAAGAACGTCACCCAAGAATTTCACTATCTAAAAATAGACCAGACTCTAAAAATAGTCCAAGTTTATTAGTGACCCTGTCGAGAATAATCAGCGAGACAGACACGTATCTGCAGTAAGTAGTAAAGTCCAACGCATCGTTTAGGATGGCTAGAACTTTTTTTTCCACAAATCTTCTCGAAAAGAGCGTAAACGTTGAATAATCGGAGAATAAGAAGCAATCGATGTTAATCACGAGTGTTTTGGCAAAATGTCAACGGTTGGAAAGGAACAAGATTCGCGATTTCAGACCAACTTCATTTACCCTAAAGACGCGCACAATCGTCATCCTTCACGTCGCGTGTAGTAATTAACATTTTTCTGTTTGCGTCGTTAACTTTTGTACCGGCGGGTGAAACTTCCCCCCTTTGCATAAATATTGGCCAAGCGTGGAAAGAGCGTTGGGACGCGCGGATGAACGTGAAAAAGGCGTCGCGTACACACGCGGAGGAGAGACAGGTGGGAGCAGCATAGTCGTGCGCACTTTCAGTGACCGGCCAATTGACCGAACATTCCGATGTTGCAATTAATTAACGCAACGTTAAATAACAAATTTTAATGAGACGGTAATTATTATAAAGTAGCAGGCAAGCAGAAGCGTGTGCGGCTGTTCGAGGTTTGCGCGCGCAATACAAGTTCGCGGTACACACCGCTCATGTTAGCCGGGTCGCGCGACTGCGTAATCGTGCTTGTCCTCTGCCGTGATGCGTGCACGCTGATAACGCATTCGTGATAACGTCAGGGTACTTCCCGGCGTATACGCTCTCTTTCGCTCGCTCTTTATCCCACACTGCGCTACTCGCACGTTCCATCCACTGCACAATCTCCATCGATCCCTTTCACAACTTGCGTATTCACTTTGCTATTCTAACTGCTTGCTGGCGAAAACAATTACCGATGAGGTCTAGCCAAGAAATTGGAGGAACGATACGAATACTGAGTAAATTTGTACGCTTAATCCTTTGACAACGATAAACTTGCCTGTGCATTAGAGTTAAACAGAGTTAAATTTTCAAGCATTGCAAATAGTTGGCGAATATTTAAGGAAAATATAATTTTGAAATGTGTAACTAATTGTGTAAATAATTAGTACCTCCTCCGGCTGCGAAGGGTTAATACGAGAGTATGTCCAGGTGAAATATTGTTTCAATTTCAATATCACACACATAATGTGCACCTCTTTCAACGTGAGACACTATAGTGACGCGTAATAGCTAAAGGGTTAAGAAAGATATTGTCCATTTTGCGACATTTGGTGTTTTAAGTAGAAATACTCATTATAATCCGACTTCAAATTAATCCGAGATTCGGATTTTCGTTCTTGATTACTCAAATATAAATCTTTTTTTATCAGGATTTCGATTAAAGAATTAAGATTGAAGAATGAGAAAATTAGCAATAAAAATCAATTCGCACTGATATTTAATATCCGATACTCATCGCGAGGGTAATACGGATATCTGAATTCAAATCACGCGCATATCCAGATACTCTAATCTAAATTAAACACTATCCATACGAATACTCAATATTCCAAGAGCCCCAATTTTTCAATCACCCCAAAATTTCACCCTGACGAAGTTTGCCAATGGGTCATTTTTGACCCAGATCGAACTTCTAGTGCTTCTGGCCCAAATTGAAACTAATCGACTGAAAAATGTATAACGAACAATCATTTCTCTTTTACAGATCGCCAATCACTTTCCAAAGCTACACCTAGATCTTCAGAAGTTCGCGGTTGCTTTCGAAGAATTGGTGGACGACGAGACGAATCCAAGGATCTACGAAGCTCTCAAGGCGACTCAATCCTACCTGATGATGATGTTGTGCGAAGTGGAAAGCTATATCATCGCTCTGCCAGACCTTCGAGTCCCGTCGCGAGTGGAAAGGAGTATCATGAGCAACACCGAAAGGGAACCTGTCGACGACACCAGAAGGCTTGTCCGTGACTGGGGTGTGCTTCTCAAGTACAGGGATTATCTTCACGCATGGAGGCACGTTTTCGATTATTAGATAGCGCCAACGAAAGAAGTCTAACAACGTCGCCAGGCGGCGTTTGTAACGTGAAAACGATAAGCGGGATGGCAATAACAATGGACGACAGCATCGGCGAGAACGGTGCAGATTGAAACGAAATGCACCAAGTGATTGGAGAGATAAGCGAAATGTCACAACGTGCATGACTAGAGGATAACAACTGAGAAATTTACTCGTGATAATCTGGCGAGATACCATGATCGCGTTATTTACTTTATTTATTTATTTATCATCATCGAGAGCACTAGAAATAGTATTTATTATTTATTCATCGAGCCTTTGAATGATAGAGTTATTTATTTAGCACGATAGTTATTTATTGAAATCAATTGTACCTTCTTAAGCTGCCTGTTCAAAGGTGATATGCAGCCAGGATCGTTGTTAGATTCTGGAGTGCAATTTGTGATAATCAGTTACATAAGGGGATTACCGTATTTCCTAACGAGTGATTGATACTACAAAATAGATATTGGTGAAAGACAATTATTCTAATGAAATTAATTTTCTGTTGTTCAGTATTATCGACTAAGTATTTATATCGTAAGCAATAAGTGATGTATTT